TGACTTAATCCTCATTTTGATATGATGGTTATGATTAATTAATGAAAGTAAAACAATGTGTTTAACCTTATAGCTAAATGTAACTGATTTAGTAAAAGCTGGTTTCAAACAGGCAGACTCTGGGGTGGTAGTAGCTGAGCATCCTCACCAGCTTATTTACAGGCTGTAAGAACGAGCTCTTCTCCTAAAGGTCACATGTTAGCTGTCTGTGAACGTGATGACTCAGAGTGAAAACAGGAAGAGCCTGCAGGGATCTGAGCTTTAACTGACGCCTGAGGAAACAGCTCTTTGATTGGCTGTCAGAGTCACGCTGCGCCCCGGGTCCATCACTGTTCATCTGCTGTGAGGAGTCCCAGATCAAACACACTCCCAGACCTGATCCGSTCCATGAGCTGCGTGAGGCTTCAGGAGAGCTGGGAGAAGGTCTGAGAGGCTTTTTSTTCACATTAAATGTATGAAATTAAAGCACAGAGCTCAGTCTGCAGCCGGCCAGTCGCAGGTTCCTTTTACTGCATCACATTGTGGAAGTGGTGCAAAGAGACGAGCTCAGACGAACAGATCAGGGTCTGTCATGAAGGGGCTTCAGAACCAACTGATGTCATCATATATGAGCTGAAATGAAGGGAACACACACCGCCTGTCYTCTGTGACACAAACATCACTTCATGATGAAGTCATGAAAACATCTGTGTGATGTCAGGCTCACAGCGAGTGTTTGACTCTCAGCTACTACCACTTCCAGCTCAGTGTAACAGAGTCAGTTATCTGTCTGAACTACAGAACCTAGGGCCGACCGGGGACAGTTACAACACTGTTTACATCTGACTCTGTCACTCAGAGATGGTTTGAATTAAACAAAACAAATTTTAACACAATAAATTTACATCTGTCTGTTAATAGTCTAAACCATTTATAGATGATTAAAACATGTACATTCTTCACTATTTGTATTTACAAATGAAAAGTCAGATGTTACAACTGACCCCGGGGCCGGGGACAGTTGTAACATTGTTTGGGGGTGGTTACAACATATTATTAATACAATATATTTCACTGTAAATACAAGTTTTATTATTTTTATATTTATACTATTGTTAAATGAATAAAACCTGTAAGTTCTAATGATATTACA